AGTTCTCAGGTAGGTCTTGTGCTATAAATACTTCGAGCACCTATTTGTGTTTTTTACAACATTTAGATACTCATGCTTCGAGAGTCACATTATCAGTTCTCTAGAGCAATTTATAAAGAACTCTACCTAACAACTTCTTTCATAAAGACAACATAGGACGGCTTGCTTGCCGGCCACAACAGTGGGCTGCTTTCTTTTCGGGACCCATCCAAAAGCAAAAATTGGCAAAGGAGGAGACTTCGAGGTTGAGAAGGGTGGTTGCCCCGATTTGACTTAAGGCTATGGTCCTGCTCACGCATCAAAATTTCGCGAAAGCTGCAGTAAAAGAATGTATGAGTAACGATTCGAAGAACTTCGCAGGTTCCGTGGAATTTGCTGATTCGACGTCGGACCCCGCGGAGTTGGAAGAGTCAGCAGAATTGCCGAAAAGGTTGATAAGAACTGTTCGACCTTATAAGCCGCGTTCACACATGAAGATTTGGAGGGATGACGATACTGCAGATAGTAGAAAGTACATGTGTCTATTTCAAACACCGCGGAGTTGGGAGAAATACAGAACTTGTCGAAATGATGGATAAAGACTGGATGGTGATGACGTCATGCATGATGCGGTTCAAAGGGCCGCAAAATAATGAGGGGAAGCTGTTTGGAAATGGTGAGGAGTCCTGATGCGGAACCTTTGAAGGTGAAAACCGTTTCCATAAGGGTTTTTCCACAAGCAACCACGAGGGTATCAAAGAAATAGTGGAAGGTGTAGGTCAATGAGATGAGGTTTTTAGCTCAGTATAGGGGATAGAGAAATATTGTGGGTTTTGAATGCCTCGGGTACTCCACACCTTACTGGAATAACACCAAATAATTGCTAACGAATTAATTTTTAAAATAGTACTCCAAAAGGAAAATTTAGCGAAATTAACAAACAAATAAAAAAGACACCAAAACTTACTTTCTGCGAAGACAGAAGAAAATGGTGGCGATAAGCTGATCTGCGAGACGCCCCAACTTTCGTATTCTCGAGCGATAACAATTTTCAAATTGTCGCTCGCCCGCCTACGTCACACCGCGTAATATGCAGGCCGAGGCAGTGTGTGTTGTAGTGACGTCGGCACAAATAATGAATTGGGAAGAATTGGTGAGGGGAGACGACTGCCTCGCATTTACTGTTCATTATGGCCGTAGAATTGTATCTTTGAAATATCGTGCAACTCTATTTTAAAGGACTTCTTGGCGCCATTCGTCTTACTGTAACAGGAAGTCGATATACCGATATTTGATCGGATGTCGAACCTACCGACCACCCACGATGATCCCTTTGGGCCTATACGCAGTGAATCTGTTACGCATCAGTTCCTTAAAGGATTTAAGGGGCAGTTAGAAGTATGGCAAGAACGTTGAAGAACCTCTATTCCTACAAAAATTAGGCGTACCAAAAGGTCGGTTTGACAAGGGAAGGGTGACGGACGGTCAAAATTGTCGTTTGTCTTGTAGATCAAACCGATCACTTTACCATCTCATTATCAGCCAACGAAATTAACTTTTGAAACCGCTGAGAGTTACTGGTGCTACGGAAACTGCTACAGTTTTCCATGCAGTTTGATCGGCGCTAGAATTTTATTCCGGAAAAAACATGAAATTAAAAAAAAAAACATTGTTTCAGTAATATCACCTAGAACAAATCTAACGTTAACATTAATAAATCTAACAAATAACCTCATCATTAAAAATCCAAAGCAATTAAAATGAAAATAAAATACCATAGGCCAATAACACTATTAATTCAACAAATATAAACACTTCAAAGCATCGCGGCGAGCAACAGTTAATTGTGCTTTGGAGGCTCATGGATGTTCGAGGGCATCCGATTTGTGGCATCTCCCTCTGATCTGTGTTACTAGATAGTAGTCTCGACACGTTACATTGGTAAATAAATGTGTTGATGGGACCCACGCCAACATTCCTCCGTTCTTACACCCTCTGAGAGTCACTAAAGATGAATAAATCATTCTATAAGTTAAAGCGTTGATAAAAGGGAATCTGAACCGCGCCTACGAGGAGAAAATGATAACAGCAAGAGCGGTTACGAGACTGCATGTTTTTAGATGAGGATCGGCCGGTGAAATAAATAAAGTGCGTAGGATGCACACACACGTACTGGTCCTAAATGCGTTTGGATCCGGAAATTTGTCGTTCGAGTCTCATCTTAAAGTGGCAAGATCACCCAAATCGCCAAAACTGTATTATTAAGGGTTATTCATATCGGACACACACACACATGGTCACGGATGTGCACATTCATTTTTGGCGCTAGCGCTAATGGATGACACTACGGTTACCTGCGCTCTGCTAAGGCTGAGCCCAGGAGGTAATCGTAGTGTCCTCTCTTGGTGCACACGCGCCAAGAATGATTTCATACTCGTACCAGGCTATGTGAATTTACGCCTTATATACGAGTATGTTTGTGCGATTTGGTGGTGACGATAGGCAATTTGAAAATGAGCTCGAAGACGAAATTTCTGGAGTCCAAACGGCATTAGCCAACGTACTCGATTGTGCCAGCGTTTCATGTGAGTCAACTAGTTAGGAGTACTGATGTGCGTGCGATGCCGCTTCTCGGATGTCCCGAATCACACCCATAACCTTTCTACTATATTCGAAACCATGCGAGGTAATCTTCCACATGTCCGTTTGACAAAATTGCTACATGTTCGCCCATTTCTATTTAATCACCTAGACTTTTCAGAGGCCAACTCCCTATATGGGAGATCTAGAAGCTCAGCGAGATGAGCTGGAAATCCTAGAGTCTATATTTGGGGATCTGATTTCATTTGAATCCGAGAACAAAATACGAATCAGTTTCGACGATGATGTGAGACTGTCGGTGAAACTACCTGAAAACTATCCATCACAGTGAGTCAACCTTTTTTTGTGGAAATCCTCTTCTTCACTAAAGGAGCTTATTCTTCGAGAGCGACAAAAGAGAAAAAGCTATGCCGAGTGTGTGAGAGTCACCACACGATGTCGCGCATATTTGCTGATGCGCTTGCGGGGCAGTTGACTCATGCATCGTCGCTTCTACTTCTCTTCACTCTCACCCAAACGTATGCTGTCTCGCACCAACTGCGTCTCTACCAAGTCCCGCTCTTACAAGGGAAGGATGGTAGGTCGAAGTGGCCATTTGAAATGAAATGTATACCGGCTGAAAGGTCTTCGGACGGGAATTACGAAACCGTCTTCCATATCTGCTGCGGACCTCCCAGAAAGAAGTTACGGAGCTTTTTAGGGGGAGAATATTCGCATTCAGTACGAATTGGCGGCGTAAGGCTCATGCGATCGTGGCCGAGCAGGTACGCCGTAGGGCTCACGAATGTCGAGGGTTTGGATCCTTGATGCGTGTGCTCTTTTGCATTTTTTCGAAAGTGGTCCCTGTGCACTTCAAAGCTATTTTGCATAACTCTTGTGCCTGATAATGTCGTGACGTAATGTTTCTGATGGAGCCATTGCGAACGATTCCATGGAGAACATTTTCTGGCTGTTGACTTCTTCTTTGATTTGAAAAGCATACACAACAAAAGTGCATTCCAACGAATGATTTTGCCCTGAAAATGACTTTATTCTCCAAATGACATGACTGGAAACCGAATCCGAAGCCGCACGAAGTTGTGCGCGAAGATGAGTATAGTGGGAAAATGCTTTCATATGAAGTGGCGTTGATGTGGCAATCATGCTGGAGATCGCGATGGGCAAAACCTTCATTCATCACTCACATAGTGTTGAATGATGTCTATCCCAAAGTGGTTTCGCACCTGCTGGAAGTTTTCGGCTCGTATGACAATCTCTTCAGCCAGAAGTGATCTCCATGAAATCGAATGGCTCCATCAGTTCAGAAACATTACGTCACGACATTATCAGGCACAAGAGTTATGCAAAATAGCTTTGAAGTGCACAGGGACCACTTTCGAAAAATGCGGAGCACACGCAAGAATCGAAAGCCTCGACCACGTATTCGTGGGCCCTACGACGTATCCACTCGGCCATGCTGCCACGATCACATTAGCCTTACGCCGCCAATTCGTACTGAATGCGAATATTCTCCCCTAAAAAGCTCCGTAACTTCTTTCTGGGAGGTCCGCAGCAGATATGGAAAACGGTTTCGTAATCCCGTCCGAAGACCTTTCAGCCGGTATACATTTCATTTCAAATGGCCACTTCGACCTACCATCCTTCCCTTGTTAGTGAAGGTTCCTAGTAACGAGTCGCGGACGCCGCACGCCAAGATGTGCGCGACGTCGTTTGGTCCCATTGCCATGCGCTGGGTGACTCTTCATGAATACTGGAATGCACAGTATCCCCTCAGATGGTGCAGAACTCGACACAGCTGATCATTCGGTCTACTACCTGCTTGCAGCTTCAGCCTCGCTTTTTCGTCTTTTTATTTTTCTCACTTTCTTGAGGTCTTCTCAGAATCAGCAAAACGGAGGAAAAGCGTTGTAGCAGTAAAATGGTGTAGCAACAATCTAAGGAGTTGGTGAAGCTATCAATGATGGGAATCGAGACTGCTGTAACTGGGAGAGGTGGGGGGGAATGCGGCCCGGCTAGAAAGAGCTTAGGTTCATACGTCGCGATCCAAGAGATCGCATCGCGATGAACGCGATCTTGCTCTGGTGGGTTGACGCTATCTAAGGCTGTCATGGGAGATGTCATAACCTTGTTGGGATGCAGACGAGCCGGCGTAGTCGCGTTGTTGCCCTCTTTTCCGATCCAGTGACCTGCGCGGCCTTTCAGGTGGAGGTTCAGGAGAGGCCGAGCTATTTTCTGAGCTTTTCTGTTGCAGAGAGCCACCATTGTACGAACTGAGCGGTCCCTCTTTGTCAAGGAATGACCGTTTTGCATTAGAGGATGCCCTGAACGCCACCTGTCTAGACAATCTGGGATCTCCTACCATCTACGCTTGGATTTCAGTCATAAAAGAATTCCTTGAGGTGAGCAGATGTGAAAATTTAGCGTTTTTTTCAGTCACCACTAATAAATAAAGTTATTAACTCTGTCGGATGGACGATAAGGTAGTTTGCGAACGGGAAGACTAGGCCGCGCCCGTTTTGGTCGTCTTGTCTGCTATGAATCATTCTTCCTGAGGAGGGATCACTATTTTGGTAGGAGGGTGGCGACGAGTGGGCTTCGTCGCGCCACCGTCTACTTCCCTTGCCTTTCTCCCATAGGGAAACGGGCAAGGCAAACGTAACATGCTGCGGAAGAGGCGTACTACGTCAGCGAAACTAGTGTGAATCCAAGCGGAGACAAGACTCCGTGGCGATCGATATCGAATTTCCCCCTACTTTTTTCTGCAACATTGAAATGGCAAAGCAAGACAACGATCGTCGTCGACTCAGCTATGCCTGTCCAGCGCTGCTCATTGCGATGTTTTGTCCATACTTCTCCCCGGATAATTATCGCCCAGTGTTTTTTCTTACAGATTCTTAAAACATAGAAAAATTAGAAAATAGTTTTTCAGGCAAGGAAAGGCCAAGACATTGTGGACAGTAGACCTGTCAATGTCCCAGAATGCTTCGTGGAAGCTGTTGCGCCTTCTATCGATGACGTACCCACAATCTACCACGGGGAAGTGTTCACGGATCGAAAAAGTCATTTACAAACTCATCTCGAGCTAGAGTTAGCAGTAAGAAGATAGTATGGCGATTTTTTTTCGCAGTAAATGTGGTTTAGGTTATTAACTGTATCATGGTATATTTGCAGGTAAAACTAGGTGCTGCGATCGTTTGTTATGAAAAATTTCATTAGCCGTGCAACTCACAATATGTATGCTTATAGAATTACTGAGGAGCGAAATGGACGTGAAATACGGTACTGTCTATTATTCAGTTTATTTTTACTGCTAGAATATTGTTTTTTGATTTTTTCGAAAGGGAATGATAGTGTGCCAACAGGTTGTGTACGAATCGTTCTAACGTTGAGACCAAGGCATTGCTAGCTGCGACACAGCTCCGCACGAGGACCTACCTGGTCTAAAGTGACAACAATGACGCTAACGTAGTTCGTGAATGGAGAGAAAGGAGCGACGTGTCTGCTGGTCTGGCTCACCCCCAATCTGCAATTATTTTTCTGGAATATGTCAGAGAGCCGCTATAGTTCAGAAGACTTTTTGACATGGCACGAGAAATTTTGCTGTTCTGTTCTGGAACAAGGCCGCATCTTGACCCTAGTCGTCTGCGCTCTTCTAGGTGTGAGCCTTGGGAGCGGAAGAGATCACATTATGGCCTGCTAACTTGTGGTCCATATCAAAGTACAGCTGGCTAACCTAGTTTATGATAGACATCTCAGGGATTTCGGGTGTAACTTTGGATGAAATACCAATGCTTCTGAACCCCACTGTTTTTGCTACCCTCTTTTTTTACCCTGTGAACTAGAACGATCTCGATTTTTTTAATGTCACTGGGCAGTGTTTCAAGCAATGCCGTGACGTGTCTCTAATCAACATCTCAGGTATTTTAGGCTGCACGATTGTTTTGACGACGGAGAGACTGGTGCTAGTTCTAAAATGCTTGAACTTTTGGACAAAATGGGAGCCACCAATGTTCTGGTACGTGATCTTTAAGCAATTCTAAACACATCGTGTGCTTATTCAAGGGCTAGCAACACAATCTGGTACTTTCCTGTCTGTTTAAACTCCGCCATTGCGCTAGCGGCCAGCGCCGATCGATACCAGACTGCGGCTGCGTTCGCGTCTATAACAGTGGAGCGCTGTTGCAAATGTAGCGCGTCGACGCGCGTCACCGCGAAGTCTAAACGCTGCTAAAAGACCTCTGTGGTTTCGATCGATCGAACCCAGCGTACTATATCTCGCAAGCGGCACGAGGTGGTCGTATGGCGTGTCGAATGGTGGGCGGAAACAACGGAGGCACTAAACATTCGCGCAAAGCTCCAGCTCATTTTCCACGCATATTGGAGTGGCTCAATTGGTACACGTCCAAACGGGGGAGGGGGGTAGACTGCCCCACATTGTGCACAATCGATCCACAGTTCTTGAGGATGTACAGTGTGTCTTTAAGGCGCATTGCGAATTAGATTAGATTTGCTCTCAGGTGGTTGTGTCACGTTGGTATGGAGGTATTCCATCTTGGGCCAGACCGTTTTCGTCATATTAACAATCTTACACGTGAAATAGTATCTATGCATGGACTTGATTCACGATCGTCGAGCACGTAGTTCGGAATTATGTGAAAATTCCTCTCTAAACTCCCGACTGAAAGTGATTTTTATCCTTCATGTGAACGGGTGTTACCGGGGTTTATGCTCTATAATTTATTTACTATCGTTTTAACCTATTTAACTGCTGATTCGAATTTATTTGTTGGGATATGTAGAATTATAAGTTTAATTGTACAATTCTTTACCTAGTCTCATGGAGGAGTAAATTTCAAACTGTGTTGCCAAATAAGTTTGTGATTATTAAGTAGCTCATGGGCATAGTAGTTCTTTCATTTTCATACTAAAATCGCGAATGTTTATGTGTTTATCGTTTCATACATACTCGATATTACCTGTTTTATTACGTTTAACGATTGTAAATTTGGTATAACTGTGTGATGTTGCATTTCCCTGTCCTATTGAAGGACTTTTTTTATGTCAATAGTTGGTGTGTAATGGAGCCTGCTGATTGTATGTTGTGATATAAATTCGCCAAATAACTCGAAAAGGGTTTCAAATAAAATTTTGATTCGCACTATATCGCATATAAGTCTTCATAAATTCATGGCGAATAGTG